TCAAGTAAGGCCAACATAAAGAATGTTTGCCCTAATGCCAAAAAAAAAAAAAAAAAAAAAAAAAAGAAGAAGCCTGTCTTGGGCTGCTTCTAACTATGGCAACAGTCCTGAGACAGGCTGAATGTCTTAAAAGAGTCCAAAGAGAGACTGTGGGTGAGAAAGAGAAGGGATCAGGCCCACCTAGGAGTGGTACCTGGGTCACTCTATCAGTTCAACTGGAGAGAGAAGACATAAGTGAAAAAGATTTCCATAGGCCTCTCCTGATTTTTCAGGCTCCTGAGAAAAAGAATTACTCTAAGAGACCACACGTCAATTCTTACCAACTTTATCACAGCCAATAAAATGTCTCCGGAGTTGAAATGACCTTGCTCAACCTTGTGGGAGAGCATGGCCGGATCTGGAGATCAAAGGGTGTGTTCAGACATCCTTATAAGACCAACTGACCAAATATCAATTTGCCCACAGTCATCTTAACAAGACCAATTTACCTAATGAACAACTCTAATTCACTGAAAGCTAAAGCCTGGAACATCAACTTGCTGAATGGGCAATTCATGTAAAACGGACACACGGTGTTTTATACCAGGTCTAGGTCTGGTTTGCCTACTAGAGGCACAGCCCAGGCAGTTAGGGCCTGGGGGACCCACATGGTAAACTGGAGAAAATGCGGGAGGCTGTACTCCACTCCAGTCAGTGGCTGCCTTATAGGATATGGACCCAGTATTACCACAGCCTCCAAGTTTTCAAATGAAGGCAGAAATCTGGATTTTTATATGAATTATGCTGACATTTGCATTTTGGCAAATACTTAAAATTTAAAATGAAAACAAAACAAAAATTGTGCAGGCCAAACGCACCCCACGTGCCGTTTGACTCTCCCTGTGTGCCTGCAGTCTACAGTCTCTGTTGTACATCCTGGGCGTTTGCCTACTAAATGCTCATGCTTTCAGCTAGTTGAGCATGGCCCCAAAGCTCCACAATACTTGCAGTGTGTAATTTTGCTGAAGCACAAATCTGTTTCCCAAATGCTCCAAGTTGACTTATGAATGTGACTTACTTAGCTGGTGAATGTGCTTATGTCTGTACCCAATTTCCAGATTTCAGTGTGGCTTTTGGGGTTTTTTAAACCAAGTTTGAGTACATAGTGCCATTCATGCAACAAATAAAAGCTCTTGCTTTAAAAAGGGTTGTGGGAATCAGGGGACAGTGTTGACTTTTAAGGTTGGAGATGGAAATGAAGAGAAAGTGAAAAGGTCTACTCAAGATTTAACTAGGAGGTAGAGTTTAGGAAGTTTGAGTAGGAGTCAGGGAGGGTATCTGTAAGAATTTTGAGTGGAAACAATCAGCATTTTTCAGATTGTGGTGGCAAAGAATTAGGCAAGAACTATATGAAGAGATTACTTGAAATTTTTGGTTATACTTTACTTTCATTTTAAGAGGAAATTTATGTGCTACAAAATATTTTTGAAATTTTAATTTTAAATTTAAAATATTCGTTAAATATTTTTGAGAGGTACGGGGTAACCCTTATGAATGTCAAGAAACTGTAGCACTTTACAAGTTATCCTAAATTCTTTTTAGTGTTCAGGTCTCTCAAAGATTGCCGAGGTCAGTGACCACTTTTTTTTTTTCTGTTTACATTCATAATTCTAGTAAAATGTCCTGCTCATAGGAGGTTCTTTATAAATTAAATACTTTGAATTATTTAAGCATGTCTTCCCATTTTAAACATTTATGGCTTAAATATATATGTCTTAATCAAATCCAGAAATTGTGTGTATGTCTTGGGTAGTGAAGGGGAGCTTGCATCAGACTTGGAGGAAAATGAAATGTACTGTGTTTTTAATGCCTAAACAATACAGTCCATGATTTTTTCTAATTTTATTTTTTATTTTTTAAAATTTACATCCAAATTAGTTAGCATATAGTGCAACAATGATTTCAGGAGTAGATTCCTTAGTGCCCCTTACCCATTTAGCCCATCCCCCCTCCCGTAACCCTCAGTTTGTTCTCCATATTTATGAGTCTCTTCTGTTTTGTCCCCTTCCCCTGTTTTTATATTATTTTTGCTTCCCCTCCCTTATGTTCATCTGTTTTGTCTCTTAAAGTCCTCATATGAGTGAAGTCATATGATATTTGTCTTTCTCTGACTAACTCATTTCACTTAGCATAATACTCTCCAGTTCCATCCATGTAGTTGCAAATGGCAAGAGTTTATTCTTTTTAATTGCCGAGCAATACTCCATTGTATATATATATACTTATATATACCACGTTTTCTTTATCCATTCATCCATCAATGGACATTTGGGCTCTTTCCATACTTTGGCTATTGTTGATAGTGCTGCTATAAACATGGGGGTGCGTGTGTCCCTTTGAAACAGCACACCTGTATCCTGTGGATAAATGCCTAGTAGTGCAATTCCTGGGTCATAGGGTAGTTCTATTTTTAGTTTTTTGAGGAACCTCCATACGGTTTTCCAGAGTGGCTGCACCAGCTTGCATTGCCACCAACAATGCAAAAAGAGATCCTCTTTCTCCACATCCTTGCCAACATCTGTCGTTGCCTGACTTGTTAATGTTAGCCATTCTGACAGGTGTGAGGTGGTATCTCATTGTGGTTTTGATTTGTCTTTCCCTGATGATGAGTGATGTTGAGCATTTTTTCATGTGTCGGTCATCTGGATGTCTTAGAGAAGTGTCTATTCATGTCTTTTGCCCATTTCTTCACTGAATTATTTGTTTTTTGGGTGTTGAGTTTGATAAGTTATTTATAGATTTTGGATACTAACCCTTTATCTGTTATATCATTTGCAAATATCTTCTCCCATTCTGTCAGTTCCCTTTTAGTTTTGCTGATTGTTTCCTTCACTGTGCAGAAGCTTTTTATTTTGATGAGGTCCCAGTAGTTCATTTTTGCAATACAGTACATGATTTGAAGTCCTCTCTTTGCATATCCTTGTCTTCTTAAAATATTTGGTTGAGTATATTATGTCAGGATGTTTCTTCTAGGTTTTAGTGTTTCCTGGGCTAGAAATAATATAAAATGGAACCATCTTTGTTTTTTTCCCTTTTGAATCCATATCAAAAGGTTTTGGCTGAAAGTGCCAGGTGCACATTTTAAATAAGGTATTGGAATCATCACAGAGTATTTGGTTTTGGCTCAAGAAATCCATTTAGAGTTTCCTTCAAAGTGAGGATGCATGGACCTTCCAAGTCTAATGCCGAATGGCTACTAGATGGAGAGATTTCTCTCATCCCCAAATCACCTGTATCATTTCTCATGTCCCTTTGAACTATTGCACTATATTCCAGCATCTTGAGATACATCATGCAACAAGAGACAAGAGCTTAACTTGAGTTCAATTGTCTGGATCCCTTTGTTTGGCAGAGAGGTTTCTCTTCTAGGAACAGGACAATTACAGAGGAATCAATAGCCCAGACAGCACAGAGCTTGTCAAATGGTAAAGGACTTGATTAGTGCAGAGTGAAATTTCATTCCTAATTGTCATAGATCAGTCTTCGTTATCAATCTTTTTTTTCCCCCATAAAGTCCTTTTTTGAAAGCATTATGCGTTCAAGTGAGAAATTCTTTTTTTATTAAAAAAAATTTTTATGTTTTATTCATATTTGAGAGCAAGAGAGACAGCACAAGTGGGGGAGGGACAGAGAGAGAGAGGGAGACACAGAATCCAAAACAGGCTCCAGGCTCTGAGCTGTCAGCACAGAGCCCGACGCAAGACTCGAACTCACAGACTGCGAGATCATGACCTGAGCTGAAGTCAGATGCTTAACTGACTGAGCCATCCAAGCGCCCCTCAAGTATGAAATTCTTTCGGGAAATTTTTAAAGACAGGATTTGGTTATTTTCAGGCTTTGTAGAAGCCACTAATACCTAATGCAAGAGGTGACTTGTGAGATCTGGCATAAATAGTTACCAAAGGAATATGATCTCAGGATTGTTTAACTCCAGAAGCCATGCGTACAGAAATTGCTTGATTTTTTTTTTAAAGTAGATTTCCACCCAAAATGGAGGAAGTTTTACAAGTAATATCAATCCTTTCATACATTCTTTAGTGTTCTTTTTTGCCTGGTTATTTTTGAGATACCTATTTCTATATGCCTTTGAAGTAACATGTTTACCACTCTGTCCTGGGGCTAGTTATTCATTCATTTATCAAATATTTTTAAAGCACCAATTATATGCAAGACATGTTGATAAAAACATATAAATAAATCAGAGAGACTAAGAGAAAACAAACTCATAACACACAAATGTTAATTTTCAATGTTCAAGTATTATGCAAGAATGTACTCTTCTGAGATTATTTTGGCAAGTTACTAGGACTTATTGGCAAAGGGCTTTGTCTTTGGTAAATAGCTGAAATATTATTTGCTTCAGTCCATGTTATACTCTGTATTTTGAGCTCAATTCTGCTGTTGATAACTAGACCACAAATTCCTTTTAGACAAAACCTGTTTTTTAGAATTTTCATTGAATTTTATTTTCAATACTGCAACTTTTTCTTTGGAAGAAATCTTATAAAAGTATATCTGATGTTAAGATTTGTGAAAAGTAATGGTGATATCAAAGCCTAGAACAAAATATTTGTGTTTTGACTTCTTATCATTATTTGATTTTGCAACCATCGTCTATTATCTTAAAAGACTTTATAAACATCTTTCCTCCCAATCTCCAAATAAGACTTTGTGTATTTATAAAATTAGTGGCTTAAAACATTTAAATTTTAGACTTTTAGGAATTTTATGACATTGCGTTAGATAATTGAATTTTCCCTAAGATACAATAGTAAATATAAAAATGTTTCTAAATTGGAAAAGTTGAATTTCAGTTACTTTGAATATTGACTTTAAAACATATTCAGAATCATTGTTACTTGTGTTTTATATTTTAAATAATAGCATTCTTAAATCTAAGAATGGTGCCTTCAAAAATCTAATAAAAAAATATTTGTTTTTCAATATTCTTTTGCCATTAGGTGATTTGGGCTCTTGGGATCTGCTCATTTGCCTGTCTTCTAGGAAAGCTGGTGGAAAACCTTGCATATCCAAGGAAGACATGTGCCAGTTAGGTTTACATCAAAAGGTAATTTTTTTTTTTCAAAATGGTTACAGATTTTAACAGCCCTTGGATATTAACAGCAGCATATCTTGGTCCATAGTATTTTTTTAATGTGAAAAAAGCATCAAAATTTACAGCTATTTCTCAGTAGTGAAATAATATTATAGTAGCTACACTGATCATCTGATATATCTGTAGTTGACAATCTTGATAAGTCCTTCCTCCTTGTAACTCCTGACTCCATTGGCCTTTGGGCCGAGAACATTATTTTTGCTCTTCTTTTCCATCTTTGGCCATTCCTTCTCTGTTTTCTTCATAGCCACCTTTTGTCTGCTCATACTTTAGATTCCTGTGTTCCTCAACACCACTCCCAAGGTTGTTGATGATTCCCAAAAGTACATCTAAAATTCAAGCACTTTCCCTGGCATCAGGCTCGTGTGTATAATGCCTGCTGAACATCACTTTTATATCACACAGACACTTCAGAGTCACCATGGGGAAAACTCACTCATATGTTCCCCAGTAAATCCACTTCTACTCTTGCATTCAGTAGCTCTGCAGAACTTCTGTTATATTGGTCACAAGCATGAGCAACCACTGTCACTCCCTAAGGTGGAAATCTGGCCTTTACCTCTGATCCCTTCCTCTCCTTTGTGGTCTACATTCTATCAATTACTAGTGCTAAGGAATTTAACTCCTAAATACTTCTCAAGTATATTATTTCTAAAATATCCATGCTCACTACTTTTATTCTGGCAAGATAGTCACCATATCTTACCAGGTTATTACAGAATCCTCTTTACCGCTTTTTCTGAAGCAAGTGTTCTGCCCCTGAAATCCATCCTGCCCAAAGTTATCAGGATAAAAAAAATATAAAATTCTGAGCTAACCTAGTTAGTCCTATACTTAAATCTTGAATGGCTTTACATCAACTATAAGGTAAAGCCTACAGTTTTCTTCCCTGTGAGTATTGGTCAACCTCCAAGCAGGAGACAAATTCCATACTTGAAAGGACTTAACTGAAGGGAAACCAATGAAAGAGCTATTTACTGAGGTTTTGCCAAGATAAGAGAAACAAGATTAGAGAGAATGTAATTAAAAAGATTGGGGAAAAAAAAAAAAAAAACAAAACAAAAGATTAGAGGCACCCAGGGACCAGCAGCATCATAAAGTTTTACCACCCTTGGTCTGAAGAAGGGTTTATAGAGGGAATGGTTATCAAAGCCTAATGAGAGCTGGAGCCAAAAAAGAGGGGTCGCTGGAAAGGAGCTATAAAGTAGGGGAATGTAGCCATTGCCAAATCATAAGCCTGCAGAGAGGAAGCCAGGGAGATGAGTACTCAACCTCTCTTTACTACCCCCCAAACTCTTGCCAAGGCCTCCTGTTGGTGCCACGCATCATTCCAAGTGTTCACCTATTTATGCTCATTCTTTACACACAGGAGACTGAAGCACAGAAAAATTAAGAGAATTTCCCAAGTCCACATAGATAATAAATGAAGCAACCAGGATTCAAACTCAGGCAGTTTGACTACAAATTTTGTTTTCCTAACTACATCACTATAAAATTTTTCTAAATAAATATTTAAGACAGCATTTACAGCCTATTCTCATGAAGATTCTTAAAGAATGCATAAGTTCTAAATGATACATATTAGATAACTGTCACTTTGGAGCATGAATAATTTGAAGCTTTATGAACCATGACTTATTTATGTAAACATAAATATTCAAAACAGAAGTTGCTTCAGATTTGTTGGGATTTTTAGATGAACAAAGAAAAGGGCCTCTGCTCAAATTAGGATTACTAATCACATGAGAGCTTTGGAATCTAAGTGCTTAATGAAAGTGATCATAAGATTTGTTATAAAAAATGAGTGGCCTGGAGTCTCTCTAGTCAGAAGGAGAGTAACATGATTTTAAAACTGTATTGGTCCATGTGATGCAGAAAGTGAAGTGAGGTCCACTATTTGGGGTAACACTAAGTTTAGTAACTGGGACTGTATTTCACCTTTAACAGAAAGGTTCTACTGTTTCAAGAGCAGAGGGATTCATTTCTAGCTCTAAATGTTTGTAGGATTAGCAGTCCCTAAAACAGTATGCTGTTTTTAGTACCCGGAGCACTGAGAAATACTGAAATGGCTCTTATTATAAAGCATTTGAACACATTTTCAGATGAATTTGATGGAATGATAATTGCATGGGAGAGACAAGGGGATAATGGCTCTTCTTGTCATTAGTCTCTTCCTTGTGCATGATACTGAACAGCTTCCAGAGAACATCTGAGTTCTGATAAAATAGAGACTGTTTGTACCGACCTAATGAAGAGAAAGAGAAGAAAAAGATATTGCTGTGAAGTTTGCGTTACTCTCGGTATTCATGAATGACCCGTCCCAATTTTTTCCCCTGGGTTCTTTCTTCCACACTTTGTAGTTATAAATAGTCCAACTCAAATGTCTCTCCTTAATGAGTTAATCGTATTACTGTAGTTTTAGTTTTAGTTTATAAACACGTTCTAAATGTTTATAATTGATATACTGTTGTTCATATTAATTGAACTATGTCTCAAAATAAGAATGATTTTTTTTACTTTTGCTTCTCATAATCTGTAATAGAAACAATTTACATGTGGAATACTCACAGATTAGGATTGTGGAAGGTATGTGGGGATTGAAATCTTTCTAAATGCACATTTTCTTTTTCTCAGTTTGATCTCAGAAATATCCCAGGGCCCAAACATCATTCTCTTTATCATTGCCCTTATGTATTCTAACCCTTTCAAAGATATGGAAGGTTTTATGTCAACAAAACATACACACACATATAAGTGTACGTAAAGCATTCAAACCCAATGCAAAATCAGTGTATATTGAAAATAATTATTAGGGTGATAATGATGTACAGTGTAGACTCTTTAAGAGTAACAAATGTACCACTCTGGTGGGGTTGAAGTCAGCTAATCCAAATAAAATGTTATTGATGATGTTCCTTTTGACAATGATGGAAATCTTACATATTTTATGATGCACATAAAAAAATAAAAACCAAGCATGAAGATATAGAAGAGCATTATTAGGTTTAACAATAAAAATACATGGACTACATGTAATATAGTTGATTTGTTATAGCTATATGACCCATAGCCTTTGAATATGTTTCTTTCTTTGTGCCAAGTCATTCGGTTTAACTGCCCAGGTTGGTGCTATTACACGGAGTCAAACGGAAATGGTATTTCTGGTGTCACGTGTCACCTCGGTTATGTCATCTGCTGAGACTCTGTGTATTCTAAAGATGTGCTTTGGAGGAGGGAACACGGAAGAGGTCACTGGGTGGAGGAAGGGAAAGTAGAAAGCGGAAGCCTGGGAGCAGTTGCTTCCCTTGGCTTGGCTCTGCTTTCTTGAAGCGAATGCTTTGCTGATCCTGGGTCAGTTCATTCTTCTGACTGAAGGTCTCATGTAGAAAGTCACCTCTCTGATAAGACCCAACAACCCGCACTTGTGTCTGAAATCTATGCAAGTTGTACTATGTCTTTGCAGCATCTTTGCAAATTCTTCTGGCCCATTAGTTCAGTTATGGTTGCCCATTGACTGGGACTCTTCTTTCAATTTGTAAAGGATGGGACAGCTCATCCAGGATATACCAGTGCTGACCAGCTGGCATAACAGCACTTTTGCTGTGAGCTCTTCAAAAAGTGCAAGAAAGTTTTAATCTGGACCTTGTCAATACATAACCTTTAATGATACTTACCTACTCACCCTGGGTGGCTCAGTCAGTTAAACCTCCGGCTTCGGCTCAGGTCATGATCTCATGGTTCTTGGGTTTGAACCTGCATGGGGCTCTGTGCTGCCAACTCAGAACCTGGAGCCTGCTGCAGAATCTGTGTCTCCTTCTCTCTCTGCCCCTTCTCCACGCACACACTCTCTCAAAAATAAATAAGCATTTAAAAAAATGATACTTAAAGCTACTTTTCTTTCTGGGTCCTTCCATTAAAGTTTCTATTTAGTCAGTAGCAACTGAGTGATTTTGCCTGGGGTGGGGAAAATGGTTCAAGTGTATTGACCTTTAAAGCTTTTGGTGATCTAATTTAGAAAACTTCTTCTATTATCTTTAACAAACAAAAATCTAAAACAAACAAACAAAAAACCTTTATTATAGTTTCTCCATACTTTTGCAGTATTCTGCTTCTTCCCTCCAGCCTTTCTTAGGAAGTCTGAATTATGACCTTAAGGACTTTCTGAAAACCCTTCTTTGTTTTCCACGTTTAGTCTCTGAACCTTATCATTTTTAAATTTGAGAAAGTAGACATGCCTAAAATCTGAAGTGTACTATACTTCTAGCCTTTGCCCCCACGCCCTGTGCCCTAAGAATGTAAGTGACTCAGACTTTGTTATCTTTGGAGACTTTCAAACTCGAGTATTTAACAATGTTGTTCCTGCAGATTCACAGGAGCTGGTTCTGCTGAAGCCCTGGCTTCATTTATACACAACGTGGGCTGAAGTTTACTGTTTGCTGAATAAATGAATAGAGTTAACGGGATTGCAGGAGTTGGAGAATGTTTTTTGCTTTTTGTTTTGTTTTTAATTTGTTGTCAAGTTAGCTAACATACAGTGTAGTCTTGGCTTCAGAAGTCTGTTCTCTGATTCATCACGTACATACAACACCCAGTGCCCATCCCAACAAGTGCCCTTCTCAATGCACATCTCCAATTTTCCCGGCCCCCATCAAAGGGTTGGAGGATGTTTAATCAACACACTATTTCAAAGCACTTTAAGAGAATCATTTCTTTGTAAAACTACAACTGATGATTGAATTACTACTTCCTAAAAATCTTAGAGAAGCAGTGGAACTCAGAGACCAAAAGCTCTAAGTGCTTTATTTTACAAATGTAGAAATTGAAAACGAGAAGCAAAAGTGATGTGCTCAAAGTTACGATTCTGGGGGCGCCTGGATGGCGCAGTCGGTTAAGCATCCGACTTCAGCCAGGTCACGATCTCGCGGTCCGTGAGTTCGAGCCCCGCGTCGGGCTCTGGGCTGATGGCTCAGAGCCTGGAGCCTGTTTCCGATTCTGTGTCTCCCTCTCTCTCTGCCCCTCCCCCGTTCATGCTCTGGCTCTCTCTGTCCCAAAAATAAATAAACGTTGAAAAAAAAATTAAAAAAAAAAAAAAAAGTTACGATTCTGTTAACTGTCCTAAGTAGGACTGTAACTCATGTTTCTGGTTCTCCAACTGCAGCTGAGTTATTTTCATATAGCCTTGTCAGTAGAACACAGCGGAGAAACTACAATACTTGATTAGTTTAGAGTGAGTTGGAAAGTATTCAATAATTTCACAAAAATGAACCTGATTTTCAAGCTAATTTACCCTGATCTCTTTCTGTTGGTTTTAACAAGGCTTTGCCATTTGAAGCATTATATTTGGAATTTAGTTGATAATACCTAGATAATCAGTCTATGAATTCAGAAGAGAAGGACAGATTAAGCTTGTCTGTGTCTTTTCTTTATAAGTTAAAACGTATATTTGAATTTATGATAACTTCTATGAAGCTTTCTAAGAACAATTTTTTTTTAAGAATAGAATTTTGCAGTGACTGGATTTTATATCTGGAAGCAATAATGCCCTTCAATATGAAGGGAAGATTACATATTAAATTTTGAAACAGGATTAGCACTGAATTTCCCACTAAATGTCTGTGATTTAAATCAGCGAGGGCCTTTGGAACTTAAGAGTTTAGTTGACTTTGAGGTATGGTTGTTGCTATTTTCTGCCAAAGCAAAATTTGCAACTGTCAAGTTATTTCTGTTATTCTGTTTACCATAAGAATGCATCTATTTCCTTTTAGTTTTAGCACATATCATGGTTTTGAAATATATCAAGGTTTTCAAAAATATTCTCAAATTTCTAAGGGCAAGTTTTTGTTTGATGTTATCAAATAAACCATTTTATTATTCTGGATTTAAATGTTGACTTTCAGAGATTTGAAGGTAGGGTGTGGATGGAGTACACAGTAGTTCACGTCTATACCCTGTGAGTTTTTGCATTTTCTTTGCTTTAGCATTTATGAATGCCTAACTCACTAGAAGCTTTTTCATTCCTTGCAGGTAAACATATTACCAGAAATACAGCATCAGCTTTGCAGTAAAGAAGGATTATGTCAAATAATTAGAAGATTTCCAGGTAATCTTTAGTTTGCCTCCTTATGCATAAACATGTGAGATATGTAGCCTGCTTTAGCAGATACCAAATAATGAGATCTCAGATCCATATATTTAGCTCCTCTGTCTATCATTTCACTATCACAAATCTTCCAGAATCCACAAGGTTTTTGCCCATGGGGAGACCCTGATAAAAAGGAATACAAACACAACGTTGGTATTCTTTCTTTTAGTTTTGCCTTCTAACTTTTAAGGTGAATATTCCCTTCTTCCTTTGTGTTTTTCTTTAAAATCATTCTTGTTTTATTTTATTTTTTTATTTTTATTTTTTTTTATTTTTAAAACCCACTTTTATTTTTTTCAATATATGAAATTTATTGTCAAATTGGTT